CCTACTCAGCTCCCCTCCCCTAACATACCTGAGCTGGTGGCTGGTTAACTTGAATTATTCTGCAGTATCAATACTGAACAATTAAAGGCAATTTTTCTGCTTAAACATATGTTTATGTGCCCTTATTATTATAATGTTGAGCCTGCACATTTTACTTTCCATTGACTTTGCAAATGTATTAGGATCAAAGATAGCAATTATCCTAAGCTGTGTCTGAAGTTGTGAAAATGGGAAATTTATTACAAAAAAGTACTTCATCATAGGAAATCAGTTCTGGATCATTTCCCCAACTGGCTATTTATCTCTTTCCAGCATAATTCTGGCTACCACAAAGTTTTTGAATCCCATAATAGGCACAAACTAGTTTCATGGCTTCTCCCAACAAAGAATGAAAATATTGCTCACTGTAGGTTGGAGAGATGTCTGTGAGAGAGATGTAATGTTGGATACAAAACTGCAATCTTCAAGATACCCTGGGGTAAGAGAGTGACTCTTAAACCAAATGAGGTTCTTTAGATATATCCTGGAAGAGATAACTAGAAATCAAGGAGATGATGCACAAACTGAAGCCTTTTTAAAATTTTTATGGAAAAAAAAATGAAATTCATTGTCACAAGACTCTTTTTTCTGTACAACCTCATGGTAGCATCAAACCAACCCTGTCTGCGTTTAGAAGCTAAGGACTGGGGCTGGTTGCTACATGAATGGAAATTCCAGGGCTGAAGGCTAGACTGGGAGGTAGAAAACATCCCAGAATAAAACAACGGCAAGACAATAGCATATCATTACTAAGAAAACTCTGGGGGTGTCCGTGGAATTGTTGAAGTTGCTCTTGATTCAAAAGAGGCTTAATTTCCTGGACTGTTTAAAAAAAAAAAAATCACGATGAAATTGCAATCTATTTAACCATCTATGTTCGTTGAATTAAGCATGATTTCCAAAGCAGCTATTATGAGATAATTCATATTCGTGGTTCAGAACAACCCTGGGGACGGATTTGGAAGGGGAAATACTTGGAAAGGAGCCCCCTGCCCTTCAACTGCAGTTATTCAAAGTTCCTGGAACCATTATGACATCTGTGTCTATGAATTCACCCCTTGGTTTTCCTGACTAATAACTTCCCAGCCATTCTCTTTCACTTTTGCCAGGGTAAATGGATTCAAATTATTGCTCAAATTCTTTTCCTTCCTTTTTCCTTTCCCTAGTATACTTCAGATGCAATAAAGAGTAGCTGAAGCTAGAGAGAACCTTTGTTGGTAGAACATTAAGGCTTGGGTGAGTCAATGCTCTTCTGTGAGGAGCAAAGAAGATGTTATATAAATACTTGGGAATAGGAGGATCATTTCCAAAAGCCAGAGGTGAGAGAGTCTCCTGTCCTTCCATAAGTCTAAATCCAGGACATATTGTCCTCTTGTAAAGCCTTGCCAGGCCTTACTGTTATCAAATTCTCAACCCTAGGCAAGAGGGTCCCTTATTGCCATCTCTTCAAAGTCAGCCACAAACACAGGTTAAATGATGTGTAGATGGCGTGAGCCTGCGCTGTGGTTTCATGCATAGCAGAGCTGTTCCCCACTACTTTCATCTTTCTTCTGGGGAAATGAGCCCCTTTGCAAACAAAGCACTGGGCTACTTTCACTCACCATTTTTTTTAAATTTACTTTTGAGTGCATGCAGAATTCAAGTGCATTCTGGAAATCAGACTAATTCTTGAAGCTTCCACACTGCAACATTTCCACTTCCTTATTTTTTTTTAAATTAAAATCTTTTTAAAAATTTCAAAGTAAAGTGGAACAGTGGGATACCACACTAGTGATCCTAGAGCAAGATGGCTTCCAAGCTAAATCAAATCTGTATTAAGAAGCTATTGATCTTGGTGATAAGAATTGAGTGATACATAAACATTTACTTGGAATTTCAGTAGGTTCCATGGGGCTTATTCCTTGTATGTCTTTAAGGCTTTAGCATTCAAGG